CTACTGATTGCTATGAGAGGAAGTGGAAGCCTACAGGAATTGTTCTGCAGTGACGGGTGGACACAGATTTAAACAGCTGCCTGAGGACTTTACCAAAGGGTGGCCAAAATGAATTTTTCACTCACTGGTTCCATCCATCATGCCACAGTGAGTGATGCCTCTGGAAATAGCTTGACTGGCCAAACATAACAGGGTCACACCTGCCCAGCTGTTCTTGGTGGTCATGCTGTCTTAGGATGGGATCCAGAGCTCTCTGAAATAATTGGAAAAGGCCCTGTTGACTCAAGCTGATCTTTGAGCCAGACCCTTAGTCCTACTTTCTACTAAATTAGCTGTGCAAGCTGGCAAAGATTTCCCTATATCATGCATGGCAGAGTTTGGGCCCTTGGGATTATTCTTAACGACTTTATAGTTCCATATTGGTAGACATTTTATTCTAGTGGTTTTGAGTAAGTGATGTCATTGTTCTCATCTTCCTCTGTTGATGTATTTTTGGCAAGAATCTAGGACAACTTTAAGACCCATGGGGCTACTCCCATGTTTCACATAGAAATGGTCTTCTGGGATTGAGCTGTGAATAGGAAAGCAATCAGCAAATTTCCAGAAGACGTGGACTGTAACTCAGAGAAGCGAGTGAGAACATGAACCACAGAAAATGCACCTATGAGGGAGAATCAACCTCTAGTACATTGTAAAGGAGAAAAGAATTATTACATAGTTGAGGAAGAAGTGAATTTGTTTCTCATCCCATATAGAGTAAATTGATGCAAAATCTTGATCCAAAGGCCCATGTGTTTCTTTCTATTGATTCTAACAAACTTTATTTCAACACCTGCAAAGATAAAAATGCTTTTGAAATCAGTAGGGCTTTTTAGGATTGATTCTAGTGTAAGTGGCAAAGACTCAGTCCTTAATTGTAAAAGAAAGGAGAAATATTCATTCCTGAAGCACTGCTCATGTAGCAAGCATGCACATGATTTGGTTTCTGACTACAGCCCACCTCAAGAGTGTAACCTTTCAAACACTTCAGTTTGTCAAAGCACAGCAGAAAACGGAGTGTGGGAGATCATACCCAGGAAGTCAGAAGGAGAGGTTCTTGCAGAAATGCTAGCATAAAACCCCTAGGGATAACTCACTGGAATATGTTTCCAATTGTTTGGTGTTTTTTTTCAGTAGGAATTTCTTCTTCTTTTTCACTTTTATTAAACTTTCGAGGGATGTCCTTTGAGCAGTTATCGCAATATAAACCTGTTTCTTTTTCTTGTCTGTTCTTTCACAGTTCTTTCACAGAGTGAAACAAAATGACTGAGTATTTGATGCAGTATGTTTTAATTCAAATTTACACAGATTTACTATCCATAGAGATATTTTCCAAAATCTATTAGGTGATTCAGAAGCCTAAGACTAATTTTCAATGAACAATTTCAAAGCCTTTATGAGGATGTACGGGCTTAACTCTTATGAGTTGAAACCGTGCTAAGCAAGTGGCCACTTGCACAAAATCTGTTAGGTCTCTAGATAGCCATAAAAATCAGTCTGAGCAAGGAATGGAAATAGGTTGTAGACTCTTAAATTAAGTGGGCTATGACTCATTTAAATAAAATACAAGATCAGGCTCAAGTGCAGACCTATGGTCACTGTACTGTTTAATTCTAAGATGGGCTTTTAGGATGGGTTTAGACATGCTCCAAATGGTGCCCTGTCTGTGGCAGTGCTGTTACAGTGTTTGGGGTCTAAGGTAGACCAGGAACTGTCCCCAACAGACATTCAGATGTGGCTGTAGATGTGGATATAGAAGGTCAGCTGGTCTATGCTTCACTGGCCTGTTTTGTTTCTGAATATATGAATAGTTTCTGATGCTTTTGAGATTGTTATCCTCTGTCAGAAATTTTTGTTTAACTAGTTGCTGTTGTCTTTTCACTTAGGGTATTCATACAGGTGCTTGTTGAGGTAAAACTGTTTATGATGAGAGTAATTCTGCGTTGTATTAGCTGTGTTTAGTGCATGAAGAATTCATCCTTAGGCATGTGTACGCAATATCTGTATGCACTGGGCAGAGGCTACCTTCCCTTTTTAGCAAGCACTGCCACAGGACACGGCGTGTGTAACTCTCACTCCAGGCATTAAGAAAAAAGCAGTGCAAACCCAAGGCAGAAGAGGGTCCAGGCTGGTCCTGGGCCCACAAGGATGATAGTGGTTAATGTTGTGTAGCTGTAAGAAGGGAGTTTTCCAGCACTGGAGAAGAGACATGCTCTGCCCTTGGCACTGTGTGTCTGTTCCTTCTGCAAGTGTTTTGGGTAACGCCAAACCGTACATAGTAGAACAAATCCTAACCACAAGGCCTTAACTGGCACCGTAGACTGAATACGTGCCAAACTGGAGATTTGGGAATGTGAACTAAAATCTTTGCTGAAATTAGGCATAAAGGAGGATTGTAGAGCAAATTCACGGCAAATCTTAATTTTTGTCTTGGAAGACTACAAAAGCATTATTTATTCACATTTCTGCCTTCACAGATTGTGTTATGGCTCCACCTGCCAGGAAACACAGGGATTGCTGGTGAAAAAGTGTTAAAAATGAAACACTCAACAGTATATATGTAAAAAGGGTGTCACTAACTGGAATAGTGTTTCCCATTCATCCTATTATTATCATCCAGGATTTGTAATGCCCTGTTAACACATCTAGATGTCTCCAGTTGGAAAAGAGAAGCTTTCTCAATCTCAGATTAGAGACGAAGTATAAAACAAGGGGTGGAAAAGAGATAGAGTCATGGAAAGGAAAGCAGAGATAGGTGAGCATGAGAGATGATGGGTCAGCAGCAAGACTGACCTTGCAAGTACATTCCTGTCCTCACCATGAAAAACACAGAAGAGAAAAATTTCAAGGTTATTGAGGAGGTAGGTTTGTGGGTGGTCTTCAGACAAGATATGTAAGCACCAACTTTATGTATGTCAAAGAAACAGCTGAGTTGATTAGTTTGTCAGAATGGGACTAATGGAAGTGGAGCCAGCCTCAGAAGTGACTGAGTGACACTGGGGAAGTGTCTGAAGGAGTGATCCCTGTAGCAGTTGTCTGGACCAGGAAAGGATGAGACTGCACTGTTCAAAGCCATTGAAAAGGATGCTGCAGCATCTGAGCTATGGGCCTGGGTAAGAGTTTCAGCTGGGTGGGTGGGTAAGGAAAGTCACTTCTGAGAAATAATGTGCTACAGGGATCATCTGGCACCTGGAGAAAAATCAACAAAAGACATAAGAGGTGCAGTTCACTGAAGAATTATGGCCTCTGTTTATAGGGAAAATTTAAATGTGGGTGTTTCAGTCTGGAAAAATGAACATGGTTAAAGTGTTTACTAGGGGTGTTCTGCCACAGTAATTCCGAGCCTATCTGCCTAGAGAAATCAAGGCATTAGTCAGACAATGGAGCATGATGCTGAGGGCTCTTGCCCAGTTCTGGCTCACTGCATCGACAGGGCAGAAACTCATCCTCAACAAGAGGGACAGAAAGACGAAAATCGCAGAAAAACTGATCTGTGACAAGACAAGCTTTAAACACTTAGGATTATCCGACGGTAGCCACCGGAGGGCACTCTGTACTCGCTGTTCAAAGTCCGTTGCACTCGTTCAGCATGTAGTAAGTTTAACTAAATGTTGGTACCTGTGCCTTGAAATGAGAGCCAGACAGCAGGACGGGTCTCCTTGACAGGTGTCCTTCACTCCAAACTTGATTTCCTGGTCTTTGTAAAACATCCAAAGTGACAAGAGGAGTGGGGCAGAGAACGAGGAGGTGAAGTCCATTGCAAATATACTGATTCTATCATGAGAATTTCTCTAGTGTTAAAGCAATGCTTTCAAAAAATGAAGTAATGATGACCAAGTGTTGTTTTGAGATGAGAAAAATTAATGAGTAACCTGATTACTTACAGACTTCACAAGTGTTCTCACAGAAAACTTGATTTCTACTTGAATATCGATTGAATTTATGACATGTTCGTAAGACCTAATTTCCAAAGCAGCCTACGCTGATGACATTTATTATAATACTATATGCAAGCACTTTCTAAATAATTAGAAAAAAATAGGTATAACTCTATATTATTAAATTGTTTATGGCTAGATTTTGCTGACTCAAATATATGATTTCTAAAAAGTTCAAAGTGTGTCACAGCACTTAATGTGCTTCTTGAATCATATTAATAATATTTTTTCATTATTGATGACAGTGATATATTAAGGCATACCTCATATGATCTTAAGGAACACTCTACATGAAAAAAAATAGTCTTGGTTATCGTGTTAAATACCATTTGGTGTTAAAACTCAAAAAAATTGTGGAGCTTGTAATAGTTTGTGTTTACAGATATGCTAATACAATAAGTATAAATTAATTCACACTTCATCAAACATCAAACAGACAACTTCTCTTTTCTAATGCTGTCTTCTTTTCCTGCTAAGGAAGTTCATCACTTCTCAAAGTTTTAATTTAGTTTATCAAAATATCTGACTGAGAAACAAGAAAAAATGATAAGAATTTTTCTTCAAAGCTTGCATTGCATACAGCTATAGTTGTGCAGGTGTGGGCATATAACTAACAGGAATGGAAGATTTATAGTTCTGAGTAGTAGTAGAAATGAGTGAGATGAATCAAATTAACAGGTTTGGGGTGGCTTAAAAGAATAGGTGGGAGTAGGATAAAGGAAAAAGAAGATAAAGAGGAAGAGCTTTTAAAGAGAGGTAAAAATGAAAGGGGAAGGAGAGAGTGGAGAAACGAGGGAGAAAACAAGTCTTTGAAGAAACAGAGGAGCAGACACCACCAGTGTGATCCCCTGCTTTCAAATTAACACCGAGCTTTTTCAGTAGTAAATCAGCCACTGGCAAATGTGCTTTACAAACCAGTATAGCAAATCGGGATGAGACAGTTTTCCTGCTACACAAAGAAACTTGCAGATTACTTGTACCTCTTTCCTAATATTCCTCTCTTGTTGTCTCTCTTTTGTTCAGTGTCCAAGCAAAACCTATGATCCGCTCATAAAGTCTACCAGGGACTTTCCTGATGAAGTCATTAGCTTTATTAAACGCCATCCACTGATGTACAAATCCGTTTACCCAGTGACGGGAGGACCGGTATTCACTCGGATCAACGTGGACTATCGTCTGACTCAAATTGTGGTGGACCACGTCATGGCAGAGGATGGGCAATATGACGTTATTTTCCTAGGAACAGGTATGAGAGAGGACATGCACTTGTTCTGCACAAACCACATCCTTTAAGAACACATTTACTCCAACAGATCCTGAATAAGCCTGTTAATTAGCATCTTTTTTCCTACACATGCAGCTTTGGGAAACATTTAAGTTCCCAATTCTGTGCCAAGGCTTCACGCAAATGCTAAGATTAGATGAATCTGTCAGCTCAAGAGATTGCTGCTACTGGGATTTTAATACCTCCTCGTCCCTAGGTGATAAACCAGTTAAGGGTCAGAATACCTGGAATTTCTTACCCTCTGAGCACCATTCAGTACTTGTCTTTACATTACATGGTAGTCTGGCCCCC